ATTAGTTTGTGTTTCTTTAGTTCTTTTTAGCTGATTAAGGTTCGAAAGTGTAATGTCACATTCACATAAAGTTCAAAGTACAAAATACATTACAAAGGCAGCCATTTAAGCTTGGGAAAGAAGCCTAGATTCCGAAACTAATTTGGAGGAATTTCAAGGCTTTAACTTGGGTGTTACAATCAGCATCAATGAGGAGTTACAAGCTTTCAATTGAGTCTTCAAGTGGCCGTTTACTTCAGCCATCAACTGGTACATTCAAGAGGCGTCCAAGTACATCCTTGACCACATACATTCAAGCTTAATTCAAGGCTTGAAACAAGGAGGAGTTACACTTCACTTGCTGTTTGAATTGGGCGTGAAAAGGGGAGCTGTTTCATCTCCAAGCTGCTGCTTTGTGGGCGTGAATCAAGGGGTGTTATACTCTCTTGTTTCTGATTTTATTTCACTCATAACTTGGAGGTTACAAACCGCCATTTGCTCTTGATGTATCTAGTTAAGTAAAGCTTCTTTTATTAATGTATCTAGGCTACAAAAAACTGATATGTACTTAGTTTGGACGTGTAACAAGTGAGCTAAAAACCACTTAATTCAGCTTGTACTTAAGATGTTTGCTCACTATAAATAGCAAGCAAATGTGAATGAAAAATCAGATTATTTCGAACAAACAACTTTGTCTTTACATTCGTTTCTTGGATTAGAAACAAACCTGAAATTCTTGGATTTAGGATTTCGTTCCTTTGCTTAGTTAGCTAGTTTAGGCTACTAGTTGGCTTGTGATCTTAGGAATCCAAACGTTTCTTAGTGGTGTGACTTTATCTAAGAAGCCTTTGGTTCTTTAGCCTTATCTATCCCTTGGTTTATCCCTTGTGTATTTCGAGTGTTACTCCAAATATACAACATTTGGCGCTAGAAGGAGGGGGGTCTAGCAAACAAATACCCAAACACAATACCCCAAACACATACCCAAACACAAACCATGGCCGACATCCCCACCCCCTAATTGGCAAGAATATGTCAATAAGGTTGCACAAGAGAAAGAAGATATGGAGCAACGAATGCAATATTTGCAAGGTCAGTTAAGAGACCTTTCTATTAAGTTGCGCCATCAAAAAGAGGGTTTACCCAATCATAGTGATGAAGAAGTGAGTGAATCTAATTTCAATCACAATGATAGACCTTATCATGAAAGAGAAAGGTCACGGCCTAAACAATGACATTAAGGCTGACATTCCGGAGTATGATGGCAAACTCGATGCTGATGAGTTTGTAGAATGGCTTAGAACGGTGGAGAGAGTGTTTGATTACAAGCAAACACCGGAAGAAAAGAAGGTGAAAATTGTAAGCCTTGAAGTTGAGAAAATATGCCTCAACTTGGTGGGCTAGCGTGTGTGCCAAAAGGGAAAGGCAAGACAAAGAGAAAGTGAGATCGTGGATCAAGATGAAGAAGTTGCTGAAACAGAAGTTTCTTCCCACATACTATGTGCAAGAAAACTTTTCCAAGTTCCACAACCTCGAACAAGGTACAAAATGATGTGTAAGCAAGATGAGAACCTTGTTACAAAAGTACGTTTTAAGGGGTCTTAGTGAAATCGTGATTAGTGAAGGGGAGAATAGGGGAACACTCAACCCTAGTCTCGGATATAACAAAGGGGAACACTCACCCTTTGCTTGGTGTAGTTAGGAATGGGGAACACTCAACCCACTCGTTCACTACGCAAGTTCCTAGGTTTGGGAACACTCAACCAAAAACTAACACTCTTCAAATTTGAGTTATCAAACTTGGACCTTAAAAATGACTAATTGCTAAGTCACGTTTAATAAACAAAACACAAGTGTTTAAGCAAATTTCTGGATGCTTTTCATTCATGCATAGTACACTATTTATAGTAGTGTATAAGTTACATAAAGGAACATAGGATTCCCTTCTACAATTTTTAATGATCATCCATCACTTGCCTAATTAAAAGACAAGATAAAATGCTAATTATAAGGTGATTAAAAGGCTCATATGACTGTCCAATTAACCCCTCATAACAACAAAGTAAAACTAATCAACTAAGCTTAAAACTATGCTTAAATTAAGGAGAAAACGTTCAGCAATCATGAGGTCTTCAAACAGCATTTTCAACGTCCAAGAAAACATGCAAACAACCCCCTTGAGTCACGCTTGTAACCTCCCATTTAAACCCTTGATTCAAGCTCCTTTATTCTAGCAACAACTCTCTAATTAAGTACATGTTAAACCCCAAGTAAAGAGGTAGAATAATCAGCCAACTAATGCCTTAATTCACGCCCAACACAAGCCTTGAATCACGCTGTCAAAATCAGTCCAATGTAACTCCCAAATGCATAAATCATGCGTGGCTTCAAGCTTGGAAAAACGGCTCATGTACTAGATACCTTCAACAAGATTAATTACACTAAGGGAAGTGTAACCATTTGTTAAACTCTTTGGACTAAAAACCGTGCATAGGATTGAAGAATGACTTAGACAAGAATAATCCCTTAGCACCTTGCTCAATAGCACCGTGTTGAACCTCCTCATCTTGACCATGGATAGTTGACCCTTGACCATCTTGGTCATCTTCCCCTTCTTCAAAAGGAATTGCCCTCAATTCGTCATCATCAAAGTAAGGCGCAAGATCACCAATGTTGAATGTACTTGAGACACCATATTGGCCTCCCAAATCTATTTTGTATGCATTGTCATTGATCCTTTCCACGACGTCAAACGGACCCTCGGCTCTTGGCATAAGCTTGTTCTTCCTTTTGCTAGGAAAACGTTCTTTCCTCATGTAAATCCACACCAAGTCCCCAACTTCAAAAGACTTCATATTTCTAACGCGTTTGTTGGCTTGTTTCTTGTAGATCTCATTTGCCTTTTCAATGTTTCTCCGAACTTCTTTATGGACTTTTAGCATGAACTCGGCTTGCTCCTTTGCCCCACCATGAACGAACTTGTCTTTTGGCAAAGCAATAAGATCAATGGGAACATAAGGATTGACGCCATATACTACTTCAAAAGGAGAGTACTTTGTAGTAGCACTAGGTGTCCTATTATAAGCAAACTCGGCATGAGCAAGCTTATTATCCCAATCTTTGGTACTTTTGCTTACCAAAGCCCTAAGCAACGAACCAAGTATCCTATTCACCACCTCCGTTTGACCATCGGTTTGTGGATGATGTGAGGTAGAAAACAATAACTTAGTTCCCATCAAACGCCAAATAGACTTCCAAAAATGACTTAGGAACTTAGTATCACGATCCGACACAATGGTGCGTGGCACCCCATGGAAACGAACCACTTCTTCGAAGTATAACTTAGCCACTTTTTCTGCATCTTCAGTTTTATGGCAAGGAATGAAATGAGCCATTTTTTGAAAACCGATCAACCACCACCATTATTGAATCCTTGCCTCTTTGAGTTCTTGGCAAAGCTACAATAAAATCCATACTAACATCTTCCCAAGGTCTCTCGGGAATTGGTAAGGGCTTGTAGAGACCTTTATGAAACACCATCTTTGCTCTCTGACAAGTAGAACAACGACTCACCACATGATGAACCGTGGCTAACATTTTCGGCCAATAAAAGTGAGCTTGGAGAAGCTCCAATGTCTTGTGAATACCAACGTGACCAGCTAGCCCTCCCCCCATGAGCTTCATGTATCAACAAACTTCTAATGGGACATTTTGGAATACATAATCTATTTCCTTTAAAAAGAAAACCATTATGTAAGGAAAACAGATCATAGACTCCATGGACACAGTTATCAATTATCCTTTTGAGTTCATCATCTTCTTGATAGTATTCTTTGATCAAATCGAACCCAAGTACCTTTGCTTCAACCATTCCAAGCAAATTATGCCTTCGAGATAAGGCATCCGCAACCACATTAGCTTTCCCACTCTTGTATTTAGAGGAAAAGTTAAATGTTTGCAAGAATTCGACCCACTTTGCATGTCTTGCATTCAGCTTCTTTTGGCCATGTATGAACCTCAAGGATTCATGATCGGAATGCAATATGAAAGGTTGTGGCCTCAAGTAATGTGACCAATGATCTAGAGCTCTTACCATAGCATAGAACTCTTTATCATAGGTGGAGTAATTCAACTTGCCTTGACTCATCTTCTCACTAAAGTAAGCAATGGGACGCCCACCTTGAATCAATACGGCACCAATACCCTTTCCACTTGCGTCACATTCAACCTCAAATGGTTTGGAAAAATCCGGAAGTGCTAAGATGGGTGTGTTGCACATCTTCTTCTTGACTTCTTCAAATGCCCTTTGAGCTTGGGGTGTCCATTCAAAACACGCCTTTCTTAGTACACTCGGTGATGGGAGACATGAGTGTGCTAAAATTCTTGATGAATCTTCTATAGAAGGAGGCAAGTCCATGAAATGAACGAACTTCCGTGAGTGTCCTTGGACTAGGCCATGATTGAATTGCTTCAATTTTGCTAGGATCCACCTTCACGCCATCACCTGAAACTATGTAACCAAGAAACATGACTTCATACAATAAAAAATCACATTTTTCTAGTTTCCCATACAATTTTTCTTGCCTCAAAACAGAAAATACTTGGAAAAGATGATCAAAAAATGAGATTCTTCATCACGTGAATAAATGAGAATGTCATCCAAGTATACTACCACGAACTTGCCAAGAAATGGCCTTAGCACCTCATTCATTAATCTCATGAACGTGCTAGGGGCATTTGTAAGGCCAAATGCATGACGAGCCACTCATACAACCCATGCTTTGTCTTGAACGCGGTTTTCCATTCATCCCCTTCTCTCATGCGAATTTGATGATACCCACTTCTCAAGTCTACCTTTGAGAAGACCTTGGAACCAACTTAACTCATCAAGCATGTCATCAAAGCCTTGGAATTGGAAACCTGTACTTGATAGTAATATTATTAACGGCTCTACTATCAATACACATTCTCCAAGTACCATCTTTCTTAGGGACCAAACAAAGCAGGAACGGCACATGGACTCATGACTCACGCACATAACCCATCCCCATTAGCTCTTCAATTTGACGTTGTAATTCCTTAGTTTCTAAAGGGTTACACCTATAGGCTGGCTTATTTGGCAAAGGTGCTCCGGGAATGAGATCAATTTGATGCTCAATTCCACGTATGGGTGGTAGTTCTTTAGGTAATTCATTCGGAAAAACGTCCTCAAAATCCTTAATCAATTGGGCTAACTTAGGATTTTGAGCAACAAAATTTTCGTGGGTTTCTTTGGAGTATAGTATGAACAACTCTCCCTCACCATCTAACTCCCTTTCAAACTCTTTAAGAGACAACAAGGATACTTCTTTTTGGGGTGTTTGTGATGGTGAAAACCGTGGGGGTGGTAAAGGGTGTAGTTTTTTCTTTCTCCCTTCATGGACTATGGTATACGTGTTGTGATACCCATCATGTATAGATCTTTTATCAGTTTGCCAAGGCCTACCAAGTAGAATATGACAAGCATCCATAGACACAACATCACATAATATAGAATCACAATACGAACCAATACAAAAAGAAACCATGCATTGCTTCCTAACCCCAGTGCTAGCATTAGAATCTAACCAACTTAATTTGTAAGGTTGTGGATGATTAGTAGTCGTAAGACCAAGTTTAGATACTAGGGTCTTAGACACGGTATTAGCCTCACTTCCTCCATCAATAATCAAATCACATACCTCGTCACCAATTTTACAACGGGTGATGAAAATGTGTTGTCGTTGGGGGCAGCATCCTCTTCCACACGTGCTTGTAAGGCCCTCCTAATCACGAGGCTAGTCTTCTCCTCTGGCTCGGCAATGCAATCATCACAATCATCTTCAACTTCTTCTTCCCCCTCCTCAAACTCATCCCAGTTGATGTTTTGAGTGGCCATGAGCTTAACCTCTTGTATGGTTAACGCCCTAGTATTAGGACAATCCTTCTTGTAATGACCTCGTCCTCCACATTTGTAACACACAATGTCACCTAGCTTCACGTCCTTTGTGTCCTTTTTTGGTGGATTACTGATGTGTAAACAAGATGAGAAACCTTGTTACAAGAAATGATAAGTTAAGAGATTCAAAGGGTTTTAAAGTTCAATTGTCAAGTAATCAGTTTAGTTAGGGGAACTCTCACCCTAAGCTAAGGATATAGCAAAGAGGAACTCTCACTCGTTTGCTTGGGATAGTTTAGATGAGGGAACTCTCACCAAATCATAAACTATAAGCCCTAATTTTGGGAACTCTCACCAAAACTAACACTCTTCAAATTCGGATACTCAAATTTGGAAAACAAAGTGAGCTAAACTCAAGTCACTTCAATTAACAAAACACACGTTTTTTAGGCAAATAATCTTGGATGATTTTCATTCATTCAAAGTATGCTATTTATAGCATCAATACAACCTTTTCACTTGCCTACTTTAATTAACAAAATGAAATAGACAAAAGGAAATTAACTAAGGGAATGAGTGGAGATTACACGTCCCACTTAACCCCTTTTACAAACATGATTAAACTCAATTAAAAGAACTAAAGACTAGGCTTGAAACAAGGGAAGATGACCAGCCAAAATAGCATCCAAAGAGCCTCTTCAGCACACGCCCAAAACAGCCATTTTCAAGCTTGTGTAACCCCCATTTTAATGCCTTGATTCACGCCTCTTTATTCTTCATAACCCCCAAATAATGAGGTGCAATGTTCAGCCAACAAACTCCATAATTCACGCCCAACAAGTGCCATGAATCACTCCTCTTCAATCAGCTTGTAACCGTTGCACTTGGAGCTTGGAAAACCGTCACTTGCTAGATACCTTCTACAAGGTTAATTACACACTAAGTGAAGTGTAACCACTTGTAAAATCTTTCGGACCAAAACCGTGCAAAGGAGTAAGGAATGATTTGGACAGAAACAATTCCTTTGCATTGCTTTGAACTTGGACCTCACCTTGACTACTTGGAGCATTACAATCATTAGAACTTTGACCATATTGGTCATCCTCCTCTTCTTCAAAAGGAATTGCCCTCAATTCGTCATCATCAAAGTATGGAGCAAGGTCCCCAACGTTGAATGTGCTTGAGACACCAAATTGGCCCCCCAAATCAACCTTGTATGCATTGTCATTGATCTTTTCCACGATTTCAAATGGACCTTCGGCTCTTGGCATAAGCTTGTTCTTTCTTTTGCTAGGAAACCTCTCTTTCCTCATGTAAATCCACACTAAGTCACCAACTTCAAATTGCTTCACGTTTTTCACCCTCTTGTTGGCTTGTTTCTTGTAGACTTCATTTGCTTTCTCAATGTTCTTCCTAACTTCCTTGTGGACCTTCAACATGAACTCGGCTTGTTCCCTAGCTCCACCATGAACGAACTTGTCTTGTGGCAAAGCTATGAGATCAATAGGAACATAAGGATTGACACCATAGACTACTTCAAAAGGAGAGTACTTTGTAGTAGCACTAGGAGTCCGATTGTAAGCAAACTCGGCATGAGCTAGCTTGACATCCCAATCCTTAGCACTCTTACTAACCAAGGTCCGAAGCAACGAACCCAGAATTCTATTCACCACTTCAGTTTGCCCATCGGTTTGTGGATGGTGTGAAGTAGAAAACAGCAACTTTGTTCCCATTAGACGCCATATTGATTTCCAAAAATGACTAAGAAATTTTGTATCACGATCGGACACAATGGTGCGTGGCACCCCATGAAAACGAACCACTTCTTCAAAGTATAACTTAGCCACTTTCATAGCATCTTCGGTTTTGTGACAAGGAATGAAATGAGCCATTTTTGAAAACCGATCAACAACCACCATGATTGAGTCTTTACCCCTTTGAGTTCTAGGTAAAGCCACAATGAAATCCATGCTCACATCCTCCCAAGGTCTTTCCGGAACTGGCAAAGGCTTGTAGAGACCTTTGTGAAACACCATCTTGGCCCTTTGACAAGTAGAACAACGACTAACCACATGATGAACCGTGGCTAACATCTTCGGCCAATAAAAGTGAGCTTGAAGAAGCTCCATTGTTTTTGAATCCCCACGTGACCAGCTAGACCTCCTCCATGAGCCTCATGAATCAACAAGCTTCTAATTGGACACTTAGGAATGCATAACCGATTTCCCTTAAAAAGAAAGTCATCATGTAAGGAAAATAAGTCATATACTCCATGGACACATTTCTGTATTATTTCAATGAAATCTCCATCCTCCTTGTAGTATGCTTTGATCAAATCAAACCCAAGAACCTTTGCTTCGACAACTCCAAGCAAATTATGTCTCCTAGATAAGGCATCCGCAACAACATTAGCCTTTCCACTCTTGTATTTAGAGGAAAAGTTAAAGGTTTGCAAGAATTCAACCCATTTAGCATGTCTTGAATTCAACTTCTTTTGACCATGGATGAACCTTAAAGATTCATGGTCCGAATGTAATATGAACGGTTGTGGTCTCAAGTAATGTGACCAATGATCTAGAGCTCGTACCATAGCATAGAACTCTTTATCATAGGTGGAATAGTTCAACTTGCCTTGACTCAACTTTTCACTGAAATAAGCAATTGGACGCCCTTCTTGAATCAAAACTGCTCCAATCCCCTTCCCACTTGCGTCACACTCAACTTCAAATGGGTTGGAAAAATCAGGGAGTGCAAGAATAGGAGTGTTGCACATTTTCTCCTTGACTTCTTCAAAGGCCTTTTGAGCTTGTGTAGTCCATTCAAACGTCCCCTTCTTAGTACACTCAGTTATAGGAGCCATGAGTGTGCTAAAATTCTTGATAAATCTTCTATAGAAAGAAGCTAGGCCATGGAAAGAACGGACCTCCGTGAGTGTTTTTGGACTAGGCCATGATTGAATTGCTTCAACCTTGCAAGGATCCACCTTCACGCCATCACCTGAAACTATGTAGCCAAGAAAAGTGACCTCATATAACATAAAATCACATTTTTCAAGTTTTCCATACAATTTTTGCGTTCTTAAAATAGAAAAAACTTGAAACAAATGATCTAAATGTTCATCCTCATTTTTAGAGTAAATAAGGATATCATCAAGGTACACCACCACGAACTTGCCAAGAAATGGCCTCAACACCTCGTTCATTAATCTCATGAACGTGCTAGGTGCATTGGTCAATCCAAACGGCATCACAAGCCATTCATACAACCCATGCTTTGTCTTGAATGCAGTCTTCCATTCATCACCTTCCCTCATACGAATTTGGTGGTAACCACTTCTCAAATCAACTTTTGAGAATACATTTGAACCACTCAATTCGTCCAACATATCATCCAGTCTTGGAATTGGGAACCTGTACTTGATAGTAATATTGTTAACAGCTCTACTATCAATGCACATACGCCAAGTTCCATCCTTTTTAGGAACCAACAAGGCAGGAACCGCACATGGACTCATAGACTCACGCACATAGCCCATACCCATCAATTCTTCAATTTGTCTTTGCAACTCCTTAGTTTCTAAAGGGTTACATCTATAGGCAGGTTTATTTGGTAGAGGTGCGCCTGGAATGAGATCAATCTGATGCTCAATTCCTCTCAAGGGTGGTAATCCCTTAGGTAACTCATCAGGAAAAACATCCTCAAACTCTTTAATCAGTTTTGCAAGTTTAGGATTTTGACTCACAAATTTTTCATGGATTTCTTTAGAGTACAACATGAATATCTCTTCCTCACCCTCAAACTCCCTCTCAAACTCTTTACAAGATAATAAAGAAATTTGTGGCTTTTGTGGTTGTGAAAAACGTGGAGGTGGTAAAGGGTGCAATTTCTTTTGTTTCCCTTGGTGAGTGATAGTGTAGGTGTTATGATACCCATCATGGATAGATTTTTTATCAGATTGCCACGGTCTCCCAAGAAGAATATGACAAGCATCCATTAAAACAACATCACACAATTGACTATCATGATATGAACCAATCGAAAAATTCACCATACATTGCTTTCTAACCCCAGTGCTAGCATTAGAATCTAACCAACTCAATTTGTAAGGATGTGGATGATTTGTGGTGGTAAGACCTAGTTTAGATACTAAGGTTTTCGACACAGTATTAGCCTCACTGCCCCCATCAATAATTAGATCACATACCTCGTCACCAACTTTACATTTGGTGATGAAAATGTGTTGTCTTTGTGGTGCCAAAGGTTCCTCCACACGAGCTTGCAAAGCTCTCCTAACCACCAAGTTTGTTTTGTCCTCCATTTCAGGATAGCATTGGTCCTCCTCCTCATCCTTTTCATACGGGGTCACCTCCTTCTCTTCTTCAGACTCAAATTCCTCCCAATTGATGCTTTGGGTGGCTATGAGTTTAACCTCTTGCATGGTTAAGGCTCTTGAATTAGGACAATCTTTTTTATAATGTCCTCTACCTCCACACTTGTAACATACAATGTCACTAAGCTTGAAGTCTTTTCGTGTTCCTCTTTGGTGGCTCATTAGGCTTGCTAAAAGAAGAACCCTCCTTTGAGTTGAAGGGTGGTTTGCGTACCACTGGAGTAGTAGTAGGCGTTTTCTTCCTTTTCCTTTTAGCATCAAACTTTGTCACAAGTTTGCAAGCTTCCACAAACGTGAGGTTAGTGTAACCGTCAAGTTTGTCTTGTAACTCTTGTTCCAACCCAGCTACAAAACGCCCCAACTTCAGCTCTTCATTTTCAGTCACTTCACATACAATGGGCAAGCCTATCAAATTCTTTGATATAGTCTTCCACCGAATCACCATTTTGTTGGAGAGTACTCCATTTCACATACTGATTTTGCTTGTAATTGTGAGGAATGAAACGATCTCTCATTCTTTTCTTCAGCTTTTCCCAAGTGGAAATGTGAGCCTTACCCCTAAGGGTACGCC